CCGTCGTGGCGTGCGGTCGAAGCGGCACGATGAGCTGTGAAACAAAAAAAAGAGGGGGGGGGGCAGCGCACCACCTGCTGCGACTCTATTTAGTTTTCCCCATCGGCCCTAATAGTGAGACGCGATCTCTTAATTGCACAGCTGTGCACACAGCAAGAGAATGCGCCCGGACTTCTGCAAAGCGCGGTTCATCCCGTTAATTAAAACAGCCCTCTTAATTGCACAGCAGCACACACAGCAAGAGAACACGTCCCAACGTCTGCAAGGCACGGTTTATTTCATTAATCTTTACGGCCTCTTAAGAGCACGGCAGGACACACAGCAAGAGAATGCGTCCTAATGTCTGCAAGACGTGTTTCATTCCATTAATCAAAATGGTCAGTGTCACTCATGCCCTCGCGAAATGCACTGCGGACGACACCAAACTCTCACGGAGAAGCCACAACTACAGGAGCAAATCTTTTCGCTAAATTTGGCGGCAGTCTGGCAACACTGATCCCTCAAGTCTGACAACAACTTATGCAACATCAAACAGAACCTTGCCAGTTCCGCTGCTTCTTGCTGGGCGCGACGCTCGATGAGTTCTCGGTCAGCCGATGTCAAAATTGTCGCGTTTATCCTCGCAGCTCGATCGAGCATATTTGAAGTATTGCAGGCAGTGGTCGCAGTCACCGCCACGCTTTCTTCGGCTGCGAGATTTGCTGCAGCAGCGTTCTCTGCTGTCTTAATCACAAGTGGCGTCATTGTTTCCTGGCACCTTGTTAAAGTATCACCGCAATCAGCTGATTCCGACGGCACCGTGGTCGCCGTCGCAATCGCTTGTGTTGCAACGTTGCTTCGTCGCGGAATCTGTTGCGCTCTCCCGCCGAGATCTGCAAATGTCTTCGTCGGTAGTTGCGATAATTTATGGCACTCTGAGCGCGTGTCGCCACTAGTAGAAGTTGTAGCGATCGAAGGCTGCCTTTGTGTCAGGCTGCTGCATCGCGGCGACTGCCGGTCTCCTGTCTCACTCGGCTCTGCCGACGTAGCCTGCGCTGGCTGCGATGACTCCTTCGGCTGCACAGCACATTTTTTCCATCGCTTGCCGAATTTGTGAAGTGTGCGGAACTTTCAAGCACGGTTCGGCATCTCGATTTCGATCGCAAAACTACAAAACTACCGATATGGCGGTGACAACGCGTGTGTTTGTGGCCGCGCGCGTGATCACCAATGTTGTCAGTCTTCGCGCTCCAATCACAAGCCGCTGTTAACTCACGTGACTGCTATGGACCAATCATACCGCAAGGTTTTGTCGCTTGTTCTTGCCTGGAAGCGTAGACTAGCTGATTAGCCACTGTACTGCTGCAGCATTGAAGGTTCGTTCCTGGCGGGAAAGCGAGCTCAACAGAAGCTCTTTCAAACGAAACTAAGATGGCTGCGATCCAATGAGTGGTTAGCGCCAAAGAGATCCCAATATACACTGGAGGGAACTGTGGCGCTAGTGTCTATGGAAGCTGCGACCCACGGTACTTCAGCGAGCATGGGAATGACGGTTAGTACACAAATTTGTCTAATATTTGTACTTCTGGCCTGCCGATTTGGAAAGTAAGTCTAAAAAAATAAAATGATGATGCGCAACCGCTGAACATTTGCCGATTTTGGTTTCGTGAAAAAACAGCTCCAAGCCACACGAACATACATGGAGCCAAAAGGAGGCCAGAAATACGAAGATTAGACAAAATGTGTGTACTGCCCATCATTCCCATGCTCGCTGAAGCGCCGTGCGTTGCAATTTCCATAGTACAGTGGCTGTACCCATAGACACTAGCGCCAGAGTTCCCTCTAGTGTATATATGGAAACTTTATGATAGCGCGATCCGAGCAACGCAAAAGGGTGCTGTTTTCGGCGATTTCGTAAGCGAAACAAAGTGCTGGGATGAATAAACATGGCATTTTTCGGCTCAAAGACGCGCGAGTTCATTTTTGCTGGCAGGTGCGGGATGATATGAAGACTACGAAAATCACCAAACTTAAAAATAGATTTTTCTGGCGTTTTTTCGTCGCCAATACCTGTGTTTCTTTAATAGCCCGCTCATTTCACAGCACTCAGGCATAGTTAATCTTCATCATCAGAAACTTCAACACGGTGTGGAGGTGTAGATGTTCCTTTATGGGTACATAGTGGGTATTTCATCAATTAGATAAAAGGTCTTTGAAGAGCAGAGCGGTGGAGAAGCTGGTATTCTATTTAGAATTGTGTGTGTGTGTGGAAAAAAACAGAAAAAAAGAAGGGACATGGAAGAAAACACGAGAGAGGCACTTGTCTTTTTGAAAAGCCTGGCTGGGTCACGCAATAACGTGAGTCTGTGTGGCCATCATGAAAACAATTCTTTCCCTGTGGTCAAAGCTTTTAGGTGTGTTCATATTTGCACTAAACAGGAGCCTGAAAACAAGATTGCTCAATGCACACTGGTGCTTATACACAAAATGCAGTCGAATCTCGATAACTCGAACTCAAAGGGGACCAAAAGTTTGTTCAATTTAAAAGAAGTTCGAATTAATGAAAGCTTAATAAACGGAGGGCTCTCCACGCAGTGGCGCATGTGCATTGAGCCAACACACAAGGGGGAAGTTTCAGAAGACTTGCATTTATTCGCAAATCACAGGGCATCCGTTATTAATTGAAGTAATCGGTGATGCACGTCTGCACACGCTTGCCTTGCAGCGAGTCAATCAATTTCGCACACAGCTTGCAAAGCATTTCTACTTCGGCTTCAGCATTCTCCTGGCAAGAGAAGTTGTCCGCAGAAATGTCCAGCGCCGAGACTTTCTAAAGACGACGACAACAACGACTGCGTATCGGAGCCTCCCGCTTTCCGCTACGCAGCCGCTGCATGACCAGCACGTGACGAGAAAGGAGTTGCGTCTCTATGCGAAGACAAGCAGATCGGCATTTGGAAGAAAACCAACCCTCCACGGCAGTTTTTTTTTTTTTTGCTCTCTTCGCGCACGTCGTTGAAAGGAGAAGGGTTACGCAGCAGGGACGGGAAAGGGGGAAGCATGGCACCGGCGCCTGAGCGACCCTCCCTCTTCCCCTCAAGGCGCAGAGCCGTGCTCGCGCAAGGGGCAAGGGCTGTAGAAGACAGTTTTTTTTTTGTTCAACTTCACATTCATTCAACCCAGCGACAGTTTTTTTTCCCTCTCTCATTTCGCGCGCGACGTTGAAAGGAGAGGGGGCTTTACGTGGCAAAGATAGAAAAGGAAGAAGCGTGACACGGGTGCATCGCAGATCGGCATTTGAGAGAGAGCAAACACTCCACCGCAGCCTTTCCTTTCCTTTTCATTTCCACCGCGGGTAGCATTGAGGTATCACAGGTGCCGATGCAAGATTGGGCGGGGTGCTGATAGCATTTTCGGAGCGCGGTATGTTCGAATTAACCATCGCAAATGCTTGGGCATTCGAATTACCGGGCGTTTTCGCCCATTGGAATACACATAGCTTTGACGGGACCTCATCGTGAGTTCGAATTAAGTGTGTTCGACTGTATCTTGATTTCGATGCATCAGTTTACTCGCTGCAATAAGTTTATTCTTGTCTTGGCCATGACGTTGGCTCAACTAAAAGGCATTCTGGTTTTGAAGGCATTCTGACTTGAAAGCATTTTGGTATAAGCAGAGGCTCACTGATCTAGGTCAAGCTCTTTCAGCGGCAATGCAGTGGCAGACATTTTTTGTTCTGCACTCAGTTTGTGCAAGTGGCTGTGTTTCTTTTTTTTGTTCCCTGCCTTTTTTTTTCCATTTTTTACCGTTGAAGGGCTGATTTCCAATACAGAGATATAGTCATTTTTCAAAACAGGCTTACAAGTTAACAATCACAGAATGTGGGGTGCACGTTAAAGAACCCCAGTTGGTCTAAATTTCCGGAGCCCTCCACTACGGCGTCTCTCATAATCATATGGTGGGTTTGGGACGCTAAACCCCACAAATCAATCATCAAATCAATCACAGAATGTGCTCAGAATTATCAAGGAAAACCTTGAAAAGACAGGCAATGAAGAAAAATTGAATTGCTAGGCACACTGAATTGGTGGCTGACAGCCTAAATTTTTGCTGAAGTAATTGCAATTGTACAATAATTAGCTTGTGGTGTTGTGTGTTAGGCATACTTCAAACTATATAAGTAATGCAAGTGATTACACATATGCAAGGCTTCAATGTACTTTCTGTTGTGAATATATTGTCACGTGGTCACGACGGTGACAAAGGTAGAAACGACTTGTACAAATAAAACTGTTTATGTGGCCAAACTTGTGGTCGGTAAATTCGAAGTCAGATTACAGCGATACACACTGGCACTGATAGCGGCAAACAGAGCATTGGCCGGCGATCAACTTACAAGCAGTGATGTGCGTCGAAATTTATACATGTGCTGTCAAATGTTCCAGGGTTGTTGCTAGTGGCCACGTAGGTTCCAAAATAATCTGTGATGTTCGTGTAGTTGGTTAACTTATGCCTGAAGCATGGCACACAACCACTAACTACTGTATTAAACCATGCATAGCCTGGATATAAGCTACTTGATGTGCTTCAGACATAAGTTAACCTATGTCGCCGCTTGTCAGTTGATTGACGGCCGGCGCTCTGTTCCCCGCTATCAGTGCTAGTGTGTATTGTTATAATCTGACTTTGCTGTTTACCCCCATTTTAACAAAATGATCTGCTGCAGTTGTGAGGCCTCTCGAACACTGCAAGCGCGGTTGGCCCTCCGATTTACTGGTAGTGTAATGGGGCGATAACAAAACTTGAGGAAGGAATGTAGGAATACAAAATTCTTAGACCATCAATAGTTCAACTATTCATTTAACTTTTACACTGTAATGGGCACAAGTCCAATGATTGTAGTACACACTTTTCTTCTTGCTAAAACTTCATTTGGATAAAATGTGTTTCTTCTTGTTCTTAGGTCCTTCTGTCATGTGTTCTGCCAAAAATAATTGCTTCTTTCTTCATTTTTTTATTAGCGATCAAGGCCTGAAGTTGCAGCATTCTGTAAGTAGCATTATATGGGCTTTTTTGTTTTAGTAGTCCTCACTCTTGAGTCAATTCCTGTGGAAAATTTTCACTTTGTTCTGATTGTAATGGTGCTTCTATGTTTGGTTGTTTTTGGCCTTTTCTGAAGTGTGTATACTTATTCTTGAAGTTTACTTGGCACACTAAAGGCATTAAGTTGATTTAGGTGGGCTTGTCCGCTTTTAAAAAAGTGAAGTTCACATTGAAAATGCGAAAAGTAGCCACATTCTTGCAATGACAGTACAATATTATGCAAGTACATGTTATCAGGTAAGTAAAAAAATAAAAATAAATGTTGCAGGAGAAAAACTGTGTATTAAGAAAAAATGACAGTTAGATATATCTGTACTAGAAATGGCAATTTGTTGCAGATTTTTTGTTCACTATACGGCATTTGTGAGTCAGGAATATCCCATACTTTTAGTTGCATATGTTATTTCACATTAGACCAGCTAAATGCTTGAACCTACATCTGTCCAAAAAGAACTGCTCTCAAAGCTGCTTTAGACAAAGCATGTACCCATTAAACTTCTATACAGACTATGCATGGTGTAACAGGATGGAAAGTTGGGCGAGTTGGCTTGAAGACATTCTTGGTAACATTTCGGCGCCCACACAGTGGACGAGAAAACGGATGACGAGAAGACAAACGAGCGTGAACTCACAACTCAGTTTATTGAAAGAAAAGCATGAAATATATACCCCGCGGTACCTCATTACGCACCTGCGCTCTTGAGCTACCCTGGGGTATACATATTTATTGTTTTTCTTTCAATAAACTGAGTTGAGTTCGCGCTTGTTTGTCTTCTCGCCTTCCGTTTTCCCATCCACTGTGTGTGCGCAGAAGTGTTACTAAGTATGCAAAGTAGGCATGGTTTTGTAGAGTAGTTTGTGATTGGGGGCCATGCTTCAGGCATAAGTTAACCTACTTCACGTGCTGGTAGCATAGTTCATCAAGGCAACTACACAAAATGCAGCTAGGGCAAAACAAATATTCATCTGCAATTTGCTTTGTGTAATGTTTAGTGCATATGCCTGTCTGTACTTACTGTATTTACTCAGGTAATTATTGCTCTTGTGTAATCAACGCACCCCCAACTTCATAGGCTAAATTGACATTTTTTTTCTTACCACCTAACAAACACTCTCCTTACGTTCATCCACTGCAGTCCCAGTAACCGACAAGAGGAGCATGCCGTTGTTTTTTTTTTAAATGCGAAACAGCTCTTTGACTAGCCTGTGTAACGCTGTTCGCTGTCCGTCCGTGTCTTTGTGCCAATGCACCATACTGCGTTCTCCCTGCCGCAGTTGTTGGAATGATGCCAAGTAGGTCGTCACAGCTGCATGTTGACGTCACTCTCTCTCTCAACCACAGCAGCTGCCGGCTCCTCCTAACACACCTAGGCGGTGTTGCTCCTCCGCTTGCTCGCAACACACTTTTCTTTTGCTTTACACTCTTTACCGCCCGCAATGCTCGACCACACATCGAGTGGAAACAATCTTATCGCTTGTTTATCTGCGATAAAACTTACACGAAACCTAACCCGTCTCCCATCTCTTGCATTTCAAAGAAGCGTTTACTCGACTAAAGGCTATACCGAGTTTTGCTTAAAAACGTTCTTCCAGCACCCACGTCCACGCCCGTTTCAGCCGGGACAACGACGTGCATACCCCTGCTGCTTCGCATCTTGTCATCCTTCCCTTTGCCGAGATGGTTTGGGGAGCTGTGCACCACAGCGGGGTTCACAAACAGTGCGAGTCTAGAGATATCACAGCTGACAAGCACACAGTGACGAAGGTCACAAAATTGCCCATGCCAACTGATGTTCACTTCCTGCAAATACGAAACTTTTTTAAGGCCCACCCACATGCACGCGATTTTCAAGCAACAACGATTGGCTTTGCTGTCATCATGGCTGTCACGAAGGGCCATTCATTGCAGTTCTGTTGCTGGTTTGGAGAACCCAAAAAGGTCACTTGTTACCCGAAAAAGAGCCTGACGATATCCTCAACATGGTAGCACCTCTGATTCTCGCTTCAGTTGCAATTAGCTCTTCATGCTTGTTATCTGCAAAGGGGCGACTGTATTCTGTCGTTAATTTTGTTATCCACAAAGCGGCCACACTTGCGATCTTTCGTTAGCCAGCAAAAAAAAATGTGGAGAATGCCTCTCTTCTGCCATCCTTACCACACACGCACACCGAGGGCAAGGAATGGGCACGTGCGCGACACATAGTTCAAGGTGCTTGGGTCGGCTCAGGGCCTGTTTTCTAGCCAGAAAAAGAAACTTAAGTCAACCCAATGTGGCGTTAAAGAACCCCAGGTGGTCTAAATTTCCGGAGCCCTCCACTACGGCGTCTCTTATAATCATATAGTGGTTTTGAGACGTTAAACCCCACATATCAATCAACCCAATGTGGCTGTCGTCGCGGAGCAGGGGGAGACGGGTGAAACAGTTGCGATAAAGAGAGGAGAGCAGACTTGCAAGAGACAGGCGAAGGAGTTCCGATACAGTGAAGAGAAGAGAGCATATGGCAGGAAGGCGACCTTGAAAACTGAAACACGCGGGAAAAGGGCAAGTTGGGTAGCTTTCTTGAAGGGGACACGAAACGTGCAGCTCACGTGTGGAAAAACTTGGCAAAGCGGAATGCGCACGCAGAGGTCAAACAATCACATAGTGATGCTGGTGGGCGTGTGCAGCCCCACCGACTTTAGTAATTTGTGACTTGTTTTGTGTAACAGCCATTTTTATGCTTCCGCATGCTTGCAAAGGGCATGCTGAGCAGAGGACTAAGTGAGCGAGAAAAGATCTTAAATGGAAGGAATCGCAGATTATCAAAGCCAGTCTGGTAGCGCAAGCGCGTGCACTAACACATGACACCAATCCAGGCAACAAATAATCTGGTACAGTCGGCGGCCTACGATGTTGGCAGATGGTCTTGTTAAAGCTTTTATATTTTAGAAAGTAGTGACAGTCCTTGATCTATGCCGCCAAACTCTCGCGGTGTCGTAGACCTCCTCTTTATGCACCCCGTCTTTCGCGGAGCCGGCGCATCTGCAGTGCTGAATGGCTGGGACGCGCGCTTCCGGCTAGTCAGGTGACCCTGACATCACTTTAAGTGTGCGCAAATGAACTTCGTGCACTTTTCATTTACCCCGCTTGCCATGAACCCTCCAAGCTCTTTGCTCCAAACATGCTTCAGAGTTGGATTCCGAGCTTTGTTCTTCGTGGCAATGCCTGGCTGCTGTGCGTATCAGTGCAGCAGCACGTCAGCGAAAAGAGTAAAATTATTTCATATTTCCTGAGGCGAGAAAAATGTTGTGCGTGGGAAGCTGTGCATTTAAAACACTGAGAAAAAGAACTTCGTTCCTTCCAAGCACTTCATTTCTTGTGATGAACTTGTTAGCAATTTCCTTATTTATACCTGCATAGCTGGATGAATATTTATAGAGCCTATAATGCTCATTCCATAACTGGACTGTCCGTGAAGTTCCATGATGAGCACACATGGATTCCGCTTTTTCTGAATGAGTCACTATGCTATACTATTTTCCCTGTGCCTTGTCAAAGCTTTGTTGTGTTTTTGTGAATTCGTCAGTTTTCAAAATATTCACTTTGTAAGCTAATGTGTAATTCTTAACTTGTAGTTGGGAACGCATGTGTGTGGGTGTGTGCGTGCTGGTTTGTGTATGTGTGCCCCAGCGTGTGCGTGCATTTGTGTGTGCATATGTGTGCCTGCGTATGCTTGCGATTGTGTATGTCAGTATTTGTGCCTGTGTGTGCGCAAGCCTATGTGTATGTTTGTGTGAGTGCATATGTTTGTATGTCTGTACTCACGCCTGTGTGTGCGTGTGCCTTCGCACGTATGTCTACATATGTGTGTGTCTCGGTGTGTATTCGTTTGTGTATGTCTGAATTTGCATGTGCATATGTGCATGTATTTGCACGCGAGTGCGCACATGTATTTTTTGGTGTGTATGTATGCGCAAGTATGTGCACGTATTTGTGTGTGTCTAAACTGTAATTATAAGGTACCATAACATTAGAAGCTTTTTCATTTGCAGTCAGCTTCTTTTTTTATTCTTTTAGGTGACCGAGGTAAGTACCAGAGGTAATGCAATACAATATCTCTCCGTTTCATTGGGACAGAATACAGGCACGTGGAATAATTGCACTCAGGCTTTATGGTAACACAACAAATTTTTCGCGTCAGTGTTGGTATAAAAGGTAGTCGGGTACACCAGTGAATTCATTAGGTAAACCGCTGATTTTTTCTAGGCAACCTTTTTTGAGCTCATCAGAACCGCAATAAATGATACAAATTCATTGTAAACATTATGCGCTTGCATTACAGCATCTATTATACCTCCACGTTACGAACAGCAGAAGCGTAGACTGGGTAAACTGCTCAGCCGATAGTTGGTACTCACTTTTTTTAGTGCTTCTGCTTCTATTCATTGAAGTGCATTAAAAATATATCAGCTAGTGTCTTCTACCTGAATCCTACTTTCGTCCAGGTATATATATATTTTTTTCAAGTGACAGAACCTCGTATAATGTGTCAAGGAGCTGAATAAACAAGGGCCCGCATTGATTGTAATGCGGCTACAATAAGCAAGTGGAGGGTTTATGGCGGTGCCAGCCAGGAGAGCGTCAAAATCTGAGGAGAATTGAAGAGGAAAACACCCTCGCAGAGCAGTGTCCCTACTTTCAAAATATTGGGGCTTTAGGTCTGGTCACTCTAGGCCAGTGACACCAATGGTAGAGTAACAATCCAGAATCAAAAACTGAGGGGAGACTAGTCAGCCGACCAGTGTCCGAAAAATTGGTGGCAGTGGGAAAACACGGACCTTATCTGATGGGTAAGGGGGGGAGTGATGGGGAGCTCAGAGTAGCAGGGTGATAAAGGATGTAGGGGTGCACAACAAAAATGATCGGAGAGAGTGACATCTGGCTGCAGCAGCAGGGTTGGCGTTTA